TTTACCTAATTTTAATTTTAATTTTGTACTTTATTACTTCATTTGCTATTTATTTTGGCGCAGTTTATTTTTTTTTTAAACATGTATCTCCTAACTCTTAAATATATTATTTTTATTATATACCGCATACATAGATTCTAGACATTTGATTGGTTAAGAAGCGGGTAATAGAAAGAATAGAAAGAAGCTATGAAGGCCTAATTCATGACACGCATGAAAGGTTAAAGGAAACGTGAACTCTACGAGGCTGAGAGAGATTGGCCCTTTGATCCCGCGGGCCGCCTATTAAGAACCAGGGTTCTACGTCATCATCATGTGTGTGCTATTCATCGTTAGACATCGCGCGTTCTACCAACTCGAGCCAGTGCTTTCTGTTGTGGGCAGGGTGTGTGTCAAGTGCTTGGTTGGTGTCCACAACATTTCTGTGGCCATCATCAATTAATTTTGTCCATATTTTAGTTAGTCTTCCGACGGGCCTTTGAACTTTCTTGTAACTTTCATTTTGCGCTTAAATTTCACTGTAGAATCGTCTGGGAGTCTAATTAGGTGCCTGTACCATTTTATAATTTTTTTTGTTTGGTTCTACAAAGTCCTTAAATTCAGTATTCCAGTGCTCAATAAAAGAATGAAACAAAAAAACCTTAAGAATTTATTTAAGAATAATTTATTAAATTTACTTTTTATCTATTACATATTGACTTTAAAAAAAATATATATTACAGAAAGTTGATGAGGTGGTTGAGCATGACGTCAAAACTTGCCCAGTTTGTGTGAAAGCTAAAGAGAAAATCACAGAGAAGCAGTTTGTGAGCAGGAGGAAAACATTGCTCCAAAACAAACTAATAGAAGATAAGATCCAGAGACATCTGGTGTGCAAGGTAATTTATTATAAGGTGTGGATTTAGGAAGGGGGGAACCGCCCCAGTTCCCCTTATGGAAAGTAAAGAAAAGAATGATAAAGAAATGATTGATCGCTTAAAACGTCCATTGTGTCCTGGGTGTCTAGAAAACTAAAATTTCCCTGGGGCATGCAGGATCCCTCTGGTGTAGTGTTGATCGCTCCACACCCCCAACTTTCGGACATTTCTGTGTGGGTGTATGTGTGTGTGACTATTTGAGCTTATCTTCAAAGATAGGAGTCCATATTATGCCTCAGCCTAAAGATCTACTGTACAATCTACTCTTTCAGAATTCCTTAGACTTAATTGGAGAATTAGCTGCGAGTCTACCAAAGCCAAGTGATGACCCACAAGAGATTTGGCGCCGTTTGTTGAATAGCTGAATTTTTGCCTTGATATTTTACCTACATTATTACTTCATACATGTGAGATGGACTGGCACAGTAGTTGCAGATAAGAGTTTGAGGTTCATGCTGCTCAGTCACTTGGGAAACTCATAGTGGGGGTTTCAAGTGGGGGCTGAGCCAGCCGGGAACCCTCACCGCTTTAAATTTGTCAAAATTATTTTTAAAATGGAGGAAAAAAAATTATATTAAAGTTTATGTCTGGAAGTGCCATACTCATATTTTTTTCTTTCCTCAGCCCCAACCATTGTGGGGTAAAGGTGGTTATTGACCCTCTATCTGCAAAAGCACCTTCCAGGGCCCCCTCTAGTTCGAATTGCTGGATCTGCCACTGAATCACTATACATTTTGTCAGTTTACACAAATGTATCAATAGTATAAACCTCCAGTGGCTTGTGTCCCATGTATGTTACATCATTTTCTGGATTAATCTGGCTTAAATTAATTCTACAGGAACATTCAAGCCTGCTTTAAACCTGTTAAACCTCATGTATTTTGAAAGCCAATGTATAATAATATTCTGGCAAAAATAATGACAAATCCACTATGTATTTCGTCAGTCTACTCAACAGTCTGGCTACATATTCCACAGAAACTTTCAAGCCTTCTATAATCCTGAATAAATAATGGCTTTAAACATTCTGCAAGCATGTCGAAAGCATATAATACGTTTAATTCCGTTGTTTTTTTTTAATTGTAAATTGGTATTAACTAAATACCGATACCAAATTATAGGCTTTAGCATGGGTCGCTATTAAATGTTCACGGTACATGAAAGTATTGTGGTTTTGTAATCAATAAATGACATGTGATTTTAGCAAGAATTTGTTTATAATATTTTTCAGTGAAGCAAAAATTAACAATGAAAATGAGTTTACTCTATTATTCTGTTAAAATGTATTGTCTTTTTTTCCATAACATTTGACCTATCGCTGACCGGGCCCAATATTTGAGGAAAACCTACAGTAGTGTGCCACCCACACCCCTTCCCCGGTGGGAGAAAAATGTAATTTGTCTGGGTTTTTTTTTTTTTTTTTTTTTTATTAAATGGTAATAAAAGTTTGTGTTAATTACGGGATTCTTTATTTAAAAAGGATGTCGGGGAAGAGCTGACACACCACTGCAACCCATACGATCGCAATAGTATACAACACCTTGCACATAAGGTAGTACTGCTCGCACTAAACAGTTTTTAAACCCTAAAATTTGACAGCATAGTATTAAGACATGCCTTTTGAATTGTACTTTCGGCGGTTGAGATTATCCCCCGCTAGCGTTACCCCTGGTTTAAATTGGGTTTCCAGATTTCCTTATGTAAGCTTCTTTTTTTATTATTCAAAAAGCGCCTCTTTGAATTTTCCAAGTTCTAATAAGCACCCTTCAACATCTATTTCCATGTGCCACCTCAATTTCCACTATTTTCATAAGCGCCCCTCAAACAGGTCAAAAAATCAGGTGATGTATTGATGAGTTTGGAAGCTTTTAAAGTTTTCAGTATCGGTCTAAAGCTATGAACATGTAAAGTCATGATGTGATGTCCTTGTAACCATATTTCGGCATATCACATACTTTCGTCAAATATAATGTACACTGCACCCTCCAATTCTGAGACCACTTTTCCAAAGTTCCAAATAACAATCTTGAACCTTTTAAAGATGTACTGTCCCTTGAAAATGACCAAAATCATAAAAAAATAATTAACTTGCTCATTTAAAAAAATTATCAACTTAAACATAAAAATGAGTATTTATAAAATGCTTACCCATGAAAACCATTAGTTTACAGCGAAAAAATGATAGAAACACTTCCAGTTACTGCACTGATTTTTTTTTTTTTGCAAGGGACAGTACATGTTTAACACAGAGCTAGCCCTCTAAATGGAGACTAACTCCGAGACCACCCCAAATTTCCAGGTCCCAAGGGTGGTCGCAAACTGTATGACCATATGTAAATATTAATCTGGACGTGGCTTTAGATTTGCAGCAATCAAGTTAAATAAAAGCGACATTAAGACAAGTACTTGATATCCTCCACAAGTTTCGAACATGGTACTTAAAGACGACGTACAGACTGAACTTGCTGAGAAGAGCGACATAAAAAATTCAAAGCTAATACCAAGATTACGAACAGAGTTGGAGCAAATATTATGAAGTAATCCGAGGGAGGGACAAACACACAAAAAGAAGTTTAATTGAGTTCATTTGGTCTTACTGACGTAAACATGAAATGATTTGTTTTGTACCATCTTGGGATGGAAGGGGTGTGAAAACGTGGCCATTTTTTGCACAGTAGGCCTGTGGTATTTTTTTTTTTTTTTTCTGTTTCTTAACAGGTCAGTTGTCTAAAGAAGTTTTTTTATTTAAATACAATTTAAATACTTACTGGATGAATAACAATATTCACTTAACATCAGTGTGTGTACTTGTAGATTTTGATGTAAATGAGGTAAAGATGCACTTATTTTATGGTGGTCAAATACAGTACTATGTTTATTATGCCAGCATCATTGAACGCCACACAAACTCATTTTATTCTAAAGTGAGGCCTAACAGACTATTAGCCAAACTGAAGAATAATATAATGAACAATGTCGGTTTCAGCAATTCTTTTATTTCTATGATGGCAGCACCACAGCCTGATTTCAATGATAAGCTTCTCTTATTTTCAGCTTCCTATTTGTACATAAGAACATGCTGTACACAATAATAATTTGAATTGAATATGAACTAATTGTGACTC